CAGCAGCAGTAGCACTACTGATTAAGACTTCGTAACTCAAAAAAGAGGATACAGTCAGCGATTTAATGCTGTTACTATCCGTTCTACCTTTATTGTTGCGCTTCATTCGGATACTATATTATCACGGAATCCAGTACGTCCACAGTTTTTGTACCAGAAAATTTAGCATGACCCAAAGAATTGCATGGAAACGCGGCGACAAGTTTTGAATGGCATGGGCCAATTCTTGCGAAACACACATGCAAACTGCCAACTGTGAGTCCCTCAAAAGTGAGGAATGGGGAAGGACATACGCAAATATGCAGAGATGCGGACATGAGCCTGTTGCTGGAAACAACGGACCAAAATCAGGAACAGGACTTTGGGGCGCGCGTGATCGCTGTCGCACTGTAAAGGGGCAACCACAACGTGAAAGAGTCACACAATGGGTGGCTCAGGACATGAGCGGATTTTCACGACCGTTCGCCAAGAGCGGCTTTATTTCGATGCGCCTGACAGTCAATGCACCCTCTGTTTTTACGCAGATACAACTTCACTCAAAGAATTGCCTCCGTAGTGGCTGTGAAAAAAATTCTCCATTTTTCCGTATTTAAGGAGAAATGGGTATTCCGTAGCCACATGAAGCAGTTCAGAGCTTGCCGGCTACCGTATCCACCATAAGCCTTTCAGTCATTCAATCGGTAATAGTTTTCAAATATAATTCATTAATGACATCTTAACTGTGTGATAACAAAATTGCAACGCACCATTACAACCTTCTCCTTTGATTTTAACTTTGCACGCTCTAGAAAGAGTGGACATTGAATTCAACCTTGAACTCAACAAACAATTTGAAGCGAAAGCAGAGACAGAGATTTTTTTAAACTCACTTCTTCTTCTCCTAATAATGAACACTATCACACAAATGAGTAAAACCAGAGCCACGAAACTAATTATTCCCCCGATTAGAAATAGGGTGCTGAAAAGATAGCGGTGCATTCTCATTCTCATTCTCAACTAATCTGGTTTGAAGAAACCGCGAATATAATGACGTGATTTTGCGTAACGACGTCTGTATTGCCTTGTGCATCTTGCACATATTATGCTCTTGTATACTAATTATTCAGCCTAGCTTAAAGGCAAACCCCGGGATTTGCCCGACCTAGTAGGAGGGATACCACTAGGGAAATTGCAAGGTCTGTAACTACCTAGATCACTCCAGCTTCGTCGCAAAAATTGCGCGGTTAGGGCGCTATTCCTTACGGACCGGCAACCATTCCAATTTCT